TGCCTCACACGTTCTCCTCTCTCCTACCTCTCTTCTCCTCTGTCTCTCCGCCTCCTCCATCTCCCCTCCATCTCGCACTTCGTTTTTCGTATTGGTGTGGGTAAACTCTGACCACCCCACCTCCTATTTATCCCCCTCGCATTATAGATCAGGGCGGGTGGTATTGTATGCTCAGTGTTTGAAAATGCTCGGATGGGTGTATCAAGGCGCCATGCATGGACCCATCAAAGATGTTGAGATGATGGAGCACAATATTGTCTCTTTGCTGATAGCGCCCCATGATTCATTGCACTAGATCCATCATCTTGTGTCGTTTTGTGAAATTACATCCACATTGCATTTCATCTCAATATCATCGCATCGCAGTCTCACGTCACGTCATGGCATGGCATGGCATGGCCTCTCACCTCATCTCATCTCATCTCATCTCATCTCAACGTCGTATCATCTCATCTCACCTGCTTAACCCTGTTCTCTCTAATCCCATCGCATTCAAATGCATCCATCAAACCTCAGCAGCATTCGCATCTCGTCAATGGTCCATTTCAAAGAAGCGCCTTGTTGGACTTTATCAACTTTCTATTATTACCCTCCACTTTCTTCTTGTCATCATTGCCGTAGTCGTGGCCATCATTTCATTCTCATTTTGCCATTCTTGTCCTAACCTTTCTGCCTCAACCTTGACTTAAATCAAAACATGATTTTGATTTGTCGAATTCAGCATATGTAAGAAGAATACACCAGATGAAACAGAAAAAAGATCATTGCACAAGAGAACAGAGTAACGAATATAGGCATTTGACATCTTTGCCTGCTCAGTTTCAATCAGATACACAGCTGCAACAATCTCATCATCAGAAAGATCATGCCGACAGACACATTCAACTTCCTCTCAACTCTTCAACGATCAGTTTCATTCTCGTATCAGGCATCGTCAGTGATAGACTCTTGCTAACTTGAATCAAACAAGATTGGGATCGATCATGCTAACAGTAGCAGGACATGAAACACAATCGAGGGGGCAACAAGTGGTGACAACTTTAGTAATGATGAGCGCACGATCTTTGGGAGAGACGCCTGAATGGCATGCAGATTGTCTACAACTACACTATCGGCTGTGAATCAGACAAGGAGCTGGCATGTCAAACCTATCAGTGCATACTAGGGCTATCTATCACAATACTAGGACCATCTATTACAAATGAAGAGAGCTGAATTAGAATGCAGAAGATCTTGGTGTCAAGATAGCGTGCAGCCGGAGTTTCTCGCTTCGCTCGAACTCCAATGCTGGTTGAAGATTTGTTTCTAAGTATGATTCGATATCAGTTTTCAAAGATAAAACACAATCGTTCATCTCTGATTCCATCTATCTGCATTTATCCCCCTCACAAGCGTGACAGAGAAAATTTCATTGCTCTGTCTCAGTCTCAGATCTCGGTGCAGACGAGAACAGAGCAAAGTTCGCCTCACCTTTACGCTCTTGAAAGTGCATTCCACCACACTGCCTGTTGGTCCTAACAATTTCTCTGCTAATTCTGCAAGAGCCATCAGTCCATGAAACATCGCAATCGCCAGCGCCAGTACCCGCAAGGCTCCTCCCATGTACTGATTCTCCGTTTACAGCAATTATCCTGTCTCCGATGCTTATCTTGTTACATAACTGCGCTGGACTTCCCTTCAGCAAAGACTGCGCAGATGCTTTCAGAAGAAGAGAAGTACAAATAGACCTTGATACCTTAACTTGCAACATGTCTTCTTCTTCCTTGCTCCGTTGGAAGTATGCTCCTATTCCAACCTTGGCTTTCTCCAAAAACTTTGACGATGAAGTGGACCCGCTCTGTGGCACGAGCATCAATCTCGTTGAAGAGAAAATCCATCACGATCATCACATCGACTGACGAAGTTCGATACTCTCCTGCGGGGATGCTGACCAAACTGCCAACAGGGTCAGTCAGTCTGCGATGGGGGCAGACGCGGCGCATCTTTCTAGGAGAGGTCGGAAGTTCGAGCAGCAGAGCATTGCCGGTGAGGGGCCTCACCTTGACTTCTCGTCTGGAACAGCCTTCCTTACGTCCGCTGGCTTCGCATTTCGCTTCGAGTCGCATGCCAGGCAGCTCTGTGCTTCGCCCATTCCGCAGCGACGGGCAGATGCTAGGGCTCTCGAAAGCGTCAGGTGGCAAAACTCTAGGGTGGTAGAGAAATCCGTGGGTGGGGGGTATGCTGAAAGATGAAAGTACCGGTCTATTTATAGGAATTTATCAGGGTAGAGGAGGGTACTAACTGAAAAGAGATCCGGTGGCGGCGATGACGGTGGTTGACCGAGGGCCTTGCAGACCCCAGGGGTGGTTGCTACGGTAGTGCCGTCGGAGTCAGTTGAATACACCGGTCCTTTCATCGAATAATAGAGGGGTCAACCCGGGTACTAGTCCTGAACTTGATGACCCGCCGGCCGGCCCGGGGGCCGCCCGCCGCGCCGGGCTCGGACCGGGCCCGTGGACGGCCGGGCCGGACTCGGGACTCTCAGGCTCTCGGGGGGGGCCACTGCCTCCGCTGACTGAGTCCCGGCCCGGCCGCGCGGGGCGCCGTTAAACTTGGGCCCAGTACTACCGTGACCGTACAGTACGGTACCGCCACTGCCCGGCCGTGACTCAAGCTGCCGCCGACGGTGCCAGTCACGGCCGGGTCACTGGGTCCAGCGGCCATTATGATGGCCCCATGATCCGATGACTCCACCGGCGGCGTCCAGTCGCCTGCACTGACTGAGTTGCGGGAATCATGAATCATAGAGTCACCAAAGCCCCGCCCACAGTCATGCCATAGTAATCCGAATGATCGAATGATCATCATGGCCACGCCCGGGCCCCGGGAAACCGTCGTCAGTCACGCGGGTGCCGGGTCACTTGCACATGGCTGCGGAGGACGCGGGCGGCCATCCGATGATGAGTCATCTCAGGAGTCACTGCAGTCACTTCTGAATCTTTGATGCCTGAGGCCCGGGTCACCGGGTGACTCGGAGCCTACGCCGGGTATTGCACTTCTCACGCGCATCAGTCCGATCCATAACGGGCTGCGGTGGGACAGTTTGGAGCCTCAGGCTCGGCCGGGCGGAGATCATTCAACCGTAGTTGAACCGCCGCCCCCGGCCGGGACTGCACTGCGCGGCCCGGGCCGCCGGGCAATTCATGCTCGGGGCCCGGCCTGACCATGGCATGACCTGCCCCCACATTTAAATGGAGGGAGGTCATAGGCATGATAAAGACATGGTAGGAACGGGATAGGACCTGTCTCCGACGTAGAATAGCCTCGAACAGGCAGACGCTTGGAGGGATTGCAGGGATCCGTTCGGACCGGTTTGAGACCAGTCTGCTGTAAGGGGTGGGGTACCTGATGGATAGAGCAGATCATTACTGGTTTACGTACCCCACCCTACTATCCCATTATATACCACCCCACTCGATCCCTTAGCTGACCCTACAGTTCTCCTACCCCCACCTCCCTTTTTCAGAAGAAAGTCCTCAGATCTATTTGACCGCTATTTTGATCTTGGTTTGACCCAGACGGTCAAATCATTTGTGCATGCACTTTCCATGCTCCTTCCCCGCGTTTGAATCTATGGACTACCCACCCGTCGATTTCCAATCAAGTACCCCTACATTATCTCTCAAAACTTCATATCACTACCCCCACCCCCACCTTTCAACCTTCGAGGTCTTTTTTACTACCCTTTTGCACTTTGCCTACACCCCTCTGTACTACCCCTCAAATTGTTCCTCACTCACCACCCACCCTAGTGAAATCTGGACCCCACCCCAAGTCTGTTGAAACCTTTACACCCTTTCCTGGTTGCCGCATTTTGACCCTACCCGTACTTTTCCTATTTGAAATAGTCTTGGTACCCGTGAGATGATCGCCAGTATACTGCCCTGCCTCGAATTTTATCACCCCACCCCTAATTTTTTGGAATTCTCAAGGGTGCATGTATATAGGACCCCTCAACAGATAAAGATGCTGATTGTCACCAGGGGGCCTTGAGTTGCGCCCGTACCACCTCACCACCCCATGCACTTCTAGAATTCTGAGAAGGTCCTATCAAGCTAGGACTCCAGGGGCCTACCTTCTGGAATTCTCATGGTTTATACGGTGGGTCAGAAGAATGTGGTCATTGTCGAAGGGGTGGTGAAATTGGTGGGGGTGGACAATTCCAGGGTGGGTCAAAGCTGAGCACCTAGGGGTGGTTGACAGGTTCTAGAATCCGAGGGGTAGTAGGGCTCAAAGTTCGGATTGGTTTGGGATGGTCAGGCCTGCTAACACGGGTGGGGTGTTATGTTTGAATGGAGGGGTGGTTGGAGGGGTGGTTGGAAGCGAAGATGTTTTTGTAGGGGTGGTATCGAATCTGAGAGGGTGGTGCATTCACTTAAAGGCCATAGAGGGGGTGGGGGTCTTGCTAGCTTGAGCTAATAGGGCCAACAAGCGGGGTTTCAAGTACAATTCCTAAATATGCTCAAGGGTAGAAGGTATGCATAAATTAATTAATGCTTCAATTATAGAAATGTTATCCAATATGGATATGGTCGCGCTTACGGTCCTTGTTGCTTCTTCCTCACACTCATGGATTTGTTGGGCAAGAGATGATTGTTGAAGGGGTGGGTCAACCTACCGGTTCACTTTACCCTCCTGCAATGGAAATCATGGGGTAGTAGACTATACAAGGTCAAGGTGGGGATGGAGGGGTAACGGGGGCTGTCGAAGAGAGGGTGAGGGTACCTGAATGATCAAGGGGGTAGATTTCGGCCAAAGGTTCAATGTCAGAGGTGGGTGGGGTACAGAGGACAGGACGGGTACAAAACAGATTCCTTAGAAAATTTCGCAGTGGGGCTTATTTGATGTATATTTAAAACTAGTTTTTATGTATCTTGAAACTTAGATATGTAATTTGAGACAATTGGAGCCAATTGACAAAATTTTGATTTGATACACAAACAATTTTGGTGTAGGACATCAAAGGGGTCAATGGTGATTGATAAATACAAGAGGGGTAGTCAAGAGTCAGGGTGCTAATCATGGAGGGTGGGTGGGTTGTATGGGGTGAAGTCATGTGAAGGAGATCGAAGGGTGGGTGGTGGGGTGGCTAGATAGTAGGGGTGGAGAAGCGGAAAGGAGGAAGCAACTTGGTTGTACTGTTCCCGTCCTCCCGCCGCCAACACTTCTCTCCTTCTCTCTATCCATCTCATTCTCCTCCTCCTCCTCCTCCTCTGACTGCTCGAACTTCTGATTCCTACCTGCTCCCTGTCCCTCCCTCTTACCACCTGGCTCCCCCCGACTTCAACCCCCTTGCTTCCCCAGAGCATCGAACTTTGGACTCGCATTGCTCGCGCTCCTAGATACATCCTCGGACCGGGAATCTTGCTCTCGATCCTTCTTGGCGATTTTCATCACCGTCCCATTCGCCTTTCAATAGAGCCACAAGCAAACGCGCTTGAGCTACCTGTGTTACTCTTCTCGCAACCTGCTCTCTAGATCAAAAATTCCGCGCCCCAAGTGATCGTACAAACCGTCAGATGATAAGCCAGAAGGCCAATTTTCTGCTCCCACTACTTCTCATTGTCGCTGCTTCAATTATCCCCGCATGCGATGCTGGTGAGTAGCACAAGGTTGTTTTAACTCATGGTGCTCAGTGTGATACCAGGTGCAAGGGAGCTTCTTGCAAGAGCCAGACCTGTCCTTCGAGGCGGGCAGATGGACTCTAGCAGCCTCCTGGCATCCATGAAGTCATGACTTCAAGTGTTAAATGAGTCCAACTGACTTGATGCTGCAGGAGATTGGAAGAAAATGGTCTTCAAGTGAGGGAAATCCAAAAGCTGGCAGCTCAGCATCAATGGTCGAACGAGAGCGTGGCGTCTTTGATCAACCTCCTGAATGACAAGAAGTTCGGAGCAGTGGACAAGGCATCAAAACTCTCTTATCCCAAGCATGTCAAGATCCCCCTCAAGAACAAACCGAGAGTGGCCATGTTCATGCACTCCCTGGAGAGGAACGGGGCGAACAATTTCTGTCTTCATCTGGTTCGGAAACTCATGGGCAGTCAAGCCTTCACGGTGATCTATGCTCCCAAGGAAGGTCCAATGCGGCAAGACTTCGAAGCTCTTGGGCTCTCTGTGGAGATTGTGGACCCCTCGGCAAAAGACTTCCTGGTGAATCTCGAGCAGAAGATCGTCGAGGGAGGCATTGGGATGGTTTTCGCCAACACAATCATGCGCTGTGATGTGGTCAACCTCTCTCACAAGCTTGGTCTGCCAACCGTCTGGGTCATCCACGAGGCCTGGCCGCAGGATCAGCTCGACTACTACGCGAAGGAGGTGTTCATGATGAAATCCCTCTCCTCGGACATGATCAAGGAAGCGTTCAGCAAATGTGGTTGCGTTGTGTTCCCATCGAATGTCCAGAAAGACATCTACAAGGGACTCTACCGCCCCAATGCTGCTCTCACTGTTTACAACGGCATTCCTCTGACTCAGCTGGATGCTTTCCGTCTCTCCCACGATCGCAACGCTGTCCGGAAAGCGCTCGGCTATGGACCTGATGACTTCCTTGTGTTGCACCTTGGAACCATCTGCAACAGGAAAGGTCAGATCTACACAGCCCAGGCGTGTGCGGATCTGATCGAGAAGAAAGGCTGCAAGGATCTCAAGTGCCTGATGGTGGGCGCGCGATACATCCGAGATCATGAAATCAAGTACATTGATCAGATCAAGGAGACAGCACGTGCCAGTGGGCTTCAGTGTGCACGATGGGAGGACACGCTGGAAGAAGAAAGAGGACAGGCGAAAATCACTCTAATGGACATTCAAGCTGACGTCCTTCGATTCTACATGGCAGCGGACGTTGTCCTCGTGCCCTCCCTCAACGAAGTTCTGCCGCTGGTGATCTGTGAGGCCATGGCGTTCGAACGCCCCGTCGTCTGCAGTGCGATCGATGCCATCCCGGAGGCTGTGGATGATGGTGTAGAGGGAATCCTCGTACCACCTGGGGATGCCGCTGCTCTGAGCGCAGCCATTCACAGGCTCTACCAGGATCCCGAACTCCGCAGGAAACTGGGCAAAGCCGGTCGACAGAGGGTACTTAGGCAGTTCTCTTACGACGCTATGATTGCTCGGTACGGGGAGGTCATGGACGAGCTGATCGAAGAGAACTTTGAGAACGCAAACCCCAACGTGGGCGCGAAATCCGGTGGCTGCGCCCCCAAGACCTCAGCCAGTAACAGCAACTTGGCACCACTGCGCATGGTAGGTGGTTGGACAGTGCCACCCCTCAATCCCAAAGGAAGTGCTGAAACGTCTGCATGCCAGGTCGAAAATCCCTCGAAGGTTGCTGGCCGGACGATATTGGTGGACATGGACAATACAGTAGTCGACTGGGACGGGATGTTCATCAAGAGGTACGGGCGTGCCATCGGAGCCAACGAGGCCCGGCAGCAGGAGATCGAGTCGAAGATCCGCAACAGGAAGCACTTTGAGATCGAGCACAACTTCGACGAGCATGAGCGTGCGCAAGTGATGGAGGTCATCGCCTCCCCTGGGTTCTTCGCTGAGCTCGAGCCGCTTCCTGGTGCCATCGAGGCGCTGAAGGAGATGGTTGAACGGGGAGTCGATGTCCGCCTCGTCACGGCTCCTCATCCTGTCTGCCCCGGCCCCTGCGCTAACGAGAAGTACGACTTCCTCCTCCGACACTTCGGCAGCGACTGGATCGACAGGATGATCATCACGCGCGATAAGACACACGTGGTCGGAGCAGCTCTCATCGACGACAAGCCAGCGGTCACAGGGTCCGCCGCCTCACCGTCCTGGAACCACGTCCTCTTCGATCAGCCGTACAACAGGCAGGTAGAGGGCAAGAGCAGGCTGACGGAGTGGGTGAACTGGGAGAACATTCTAGCCGATGCCCTCAAGCTATGATCACGTCAGCTCCTCCTCTTGTCACCGACCTGACTGATTGTTTCATCCCTCCGAATTGCTCGAGCTCAGGCTTGACTGAGGGGAGAAGGTCTCTCACCACTATGAAGTACAGCCTTATGTTGCAGCCGCCGGCTCGTCAACCCTTGTGGTTGTCTGGACGCGTTTCGCATGTGATGGTGGGCTGAAAGGATTCTAACTGTATTTATGCCTCTTATTGTTTTAACAAACTGTCTCATTCCTGTCTGAGTTGCATCTCATTCCCAGCACTAGCATCCTTCTAACCACTAGTACTTCAACTCCCACACTCCAACACCCCCGCTCCCTTGCTCGGTCTACTGTTTCCTCCCCCTCTAGCAATTTGCTGCTGCCTCCCTCCACCCTCTTCTTTCTCCTACTTCTGCTGTGCTTTCATCTTACGATGCTCTTGTCCCCGCAAGTACCTTCCTCCCTCAGCAGAGATTGAGTTAGGTAGGAGGTGGCTGGACAGGAGGAGGGGCAAGAGAGGAGGAGGCAGGAGCCAAGGCTGAAAGAGCAGGAGGCGGAGGAGAGCACGAGCGTTGAGCAGAAACTGAGGCGCCTGCAGGACTGTCGCCTTCCTCCCTCGCCTCCAGCTTCCTCGTGTGCCCTTCCTCAAAGATGCTGTGGATGGGATGGGTGGCTGGATGCATCTCAACCGCAAGCGCACGCAGGGACGGAGGTTGCACCAGGCTCGTCCTCCTCCTCTGAATCCTCCGAGGCTGATGCCTGGGTTCCAGCTCGGCTCCGTGCTGAATGAGGAGCCGAGCAGCCTCACTCGATCCATTCAGGACCGTCCAGTGCAGCGGCGTCCTCCCCCACTTGTCCCGCGCTTCCATGTCAGCGAATGCCGAGGCTTCCAGCAGCATCTGAATGCACTTGACGTCCCCTGATCTCAACTCATGTGAGCACAGGAGGGGAGAGAGGGGAGAAGAGAAGAGAAAGGAGCGGGGAGCCAGGAGAGGGGGAGGTGGAGAGGGGAGGAAAGGGAGGAGGAGCGGGGGCAAGGGCGGGAATAAGGAAGAGAAGGAAGGGGGGTAGGGAGAAGGGTAAGAAAACGGTTTTCCTCTACCTCCTCTCGCCGCGTCATGCAGCAGCGTCAGTCTGCTCTTGTCCCGCGCTCGCACCGCTCCCCCTCTATCGAGGATCTGCCGCAGCGCCTTCCACCTCCTCAGTGACGTGGGCAGCAACTTCCCTCTCCTACCTCATGGCAACCGGAAGCTGCCGCGCAGTGGGCTGGGGTCCTCTTGTAGAAAAACATCTTGGCGTTGGGCTGGGCCCTCGCCTCCAGCAGCATCCCCACCTGCCGCCCAGCATGAGACAGGAGAGCAGGCTCTAGAGTACAGCAACAATCTCCGGTCTCCTTGCGTTCGCGGCCACGTGCAGCGCTGATATCCCGGCATGCACGGAGGCGAGCTTGTCCTCCCCGACCGTGGGATGCACTTTACTCGCCAGCAGCCTCCTGCCTCAAGTTCAGCTGCTCCCCAGCAGCCCAAGGAGCAGCAGCTCGACATGCCTCACACCCTCGATGTCCCCAGCCGCTGCTGCCCGCCTCAACAGCTGCTGCTCCTCCTCTTCCTTCCTGCACACCTCCTCCTGCTCCAGCGTATGCTCCTGCTCCTGCTCCTCCTGCTCCTCCTGCTCCTCCTGCTCCTCCTCCGCGTCTTTTCGAGTCTTCTTCAGTCTGCATCTCGTTATTATCATCACGGAGGGAACAGAGAAAGAGACTTCGAAAGGCAGCAGGGCTGCCATGTCCTGGGTATCTCCCTTTCCTCCAGGAATCTGGCATAGTCTGATAGCACGCGATGCTCATGCAGAAAGCTGCGGAAATGAATCAGCCTCCTCTCTCCTACCTCCTCCTAGCACATCACATTGGACTCAATGGTCCTGAAACAAGCCCGTCTGCCGGCCAATCGTCTCCTCCTAACTCAACCAGCACCTTAACCACCTACGCTCCGATCAGTTTCACGACATTCCCGCGCTGACATGACCCACCGCAAGGGACGAAAGTGAGTCTCCACCCAGCATGAAGAAATCATCATCCTCCTTCACGCCACTGATGCCCAGGACTGAAACATCAGTTTCAACTTTCTCCTCCTCCACAATATCATCAGAATCATCCACGTAAACATCATCATCGTCGTCGTCGTCGTCGTCTTCGTCGTCATCGTCGTCGTCGTCGTCGTCCTCCTCCTCCTCCTCCTCATCATCATCATCATCATCATCATCATCCTCATCCTCATCCTCATCATCCTCATCATCATCATCATCATCATCATCATCATCATCATCATCATCATCATCATCATCATCATCATCATCTCAATCATCATCATCATCATCATCTCAATCATCATCATCGTCATCTCAATCATCATCATCATCATCATCATCATCGTCATCAACATTTCGTCCGGCACTTCTCACCATCTTCAACGATCTCACAGAGCACTTTGACCGCCATGCGAACATGCCACAAGCCAAGTCCACCTCAGAGTCTTTCTCCGATAACTAAAAGTGTAACGGGTCCGCAACGCTTCAGGATAAAGGGCTCTAACGAAACGACTTGTAACGGTCTTGGATCTTCAAAACGCAACGCTTCATGTCGGAAAACAACCAATAAAAAAGTGTTTTTGGTCCCGCGCCGCCATGCACCATGAGCGTCCTCTTCGCGTCATCGTACAGCCCCGCCCACGCGATGGCTCCTCAACCCTCAACCCTCCTAGTCCTGTCGACCTCGATCAGAACGCAATCGTGTCCCTCTTCCACTTGCGACAGACCGACGCTGCTCGACGCCTCGGGCTCTCGCTCTCTTCCCTTAAAGTTGCCTGCCGCAGAATTGGAATCAACAAATGGCCTTACAATCGTGGAGGAGAGCATGTGCAGGCTGCTCGAAAGGCTGAGAGAAGCAGTGACAACAACTCCGACTTGTCAAAAGAAGATGAAGGAGTGAATGAATCGGAGAGCAGGGGGCGAGACTGGATGGAAATGAGGATGCAGGAGCTGATGGACGAAGGCTTGCTCCATGTCTCTGGGTTACTATCCGTGTCAGAAGGGAGATTGAAGCGAAATGCTAAACTCAACATATCAGCAACACGTGAGTGAAGGGCGATTGATGAGATGCCTTGTGTGTGCATTGCTCTCGTAAGAGTGTGTTGTTGAGACACGACGAACTTGACCAAGCACGAGCAGCAGGTCAAGGCAAGGGTGATCAATGATATAATTGATCACGACCCAGAGATAACATATCCTATCAGCAACAAGGCAGGTATACTGTCCTTGGTCGAGCCGGAAACCTCCCTGGAAATGTGTGGAAAGAAGAAGAAATTAGTCTAGGGGTGTGAGGCAACTAATCAGCTCATGGGAATGTTGCTGTTTGACGCATCAAGCACAACAACTACTGCTAGATATCAAATCTCAAAGCAAGGAAGTGAAAGGAGACGACGTTACAGGTTACAGGCGTGTAGATTTATTACAAATCACAGCCTAACTTCGGGTACTCGGACGTTCTCTGGAAAATTGTTGCTGTGCAAGATACCCGAGAAAAACATTGATCTGCTTTAAGCGACCGAAAACAATTATGCTCATCAATATGATGGTAACTTGACATGTCAAATTTGATGCCCCCATGACGTCATTCCGAGCATGTTGGAACCATGTCTTCAATGACGCCCTTCCTCTTCTTGCCCAGGGCATTCAGTTATCAATCACTGCCTCTGTCCCTTCAACGTGCGCTAGACTCTCCTCCAGTAGCTCCCCCCACTCCCTCCTCATCCTCCCTCCTTGTCCTCGCTTCTCCTCTCCTACGCTCCTCCCCCTCTGCTCTCCCCCTGCTCGCCTGTTCGGTTCGACGCGGTCGCCTTCGTCCCCGTCGCGCTCCTCTGGAGTCCGCAGCGTAGCAACGTGGTCCTCCCGCTGCCCCCTGATCGCCTCCTTGGTCTCGGGGGTAGCCGAGGCTCTCGAGTACGGCCAGCTGCCGAGCCCGAGCTTCCTGCAGGCGTTCTTGATGGCAGTGAGAGAGATCCCGAGGGCGCGGGCAGCGTCGGTCTGCCTATGGGAGCGCTGGAGGGCCAAGAGAAGATGGCGGTCGAGGCGGACGGAGGAGCGAGGGGGCTTGGAGGCGTGAGCGCGCTGACGGCAGAAGACGAGGACTGCGGCGTCGTGATCCGATGGCTGCATGTGAGTTGGAGGGCGCCAATGAGGGAGAGGGGGAGTAGCCTTCTAATTTTTTTTTTATTTTACTACATATCTCGAATAAAACATTGTTGACCCCCAAGAGTGGGAGGCTCTCACAGATTGACTAAACATTATGGTACCGTACGCCTGTTGGAGAAAAGATATCAACCTCGAGATCTCTTGCTGGTCCACGGACTCCAGTCAGGGGAGACTTTTTTTATTATAACGCAGGCAAAATTCAATTTCATTCTGATTTGCGAAATTGAATTTGGCCTAAGCAAATTCAATTTCATTCTGATTTGCGAAATTGAATTTGGTCTTTAAAAGTCTCCCTCACAGTCACAAGCCTAGACAGTTCCGCTTGAGGTACCCGCCTGCTAGGACCTGGTCATAGCTTCCTCGCCGCAACAGGAGCGGGAGGAGCGGCAGAAAGCAGCAGGAAAGCAGCAACAACCATGATTGACTCATATCCTGAACAGTCGTGGCAGCACCATGGCATTGACAACCTGGATCACGACGCCGCAGTCCTCGTCTTCTGCCGTCGGCGCGCTAACGCCTCCAAACCCCCTCGCTCTTCCGTCCGCCTCGACCGCCATCTTCTCTTGGCCCTCCAGCGCTCCCATAGGCAGACTGACGCCGCCCGCTCCCTCGGGATCTCTCTCACTGCCATCAAGAACGCCTGCAGGAAGCTCGGGCTCGGCAGCTGGCCGTACTCGAGAGCCTCGGCTTCCCCCGAGACCAAGGAAGCGATCAGGGGGCAGCGGGAGGACCACGTTGCTACGCTGCGGACTCCAGAGGAGCGCGACGGGTACGAAGGCGACCGCGTCGAAGCGAGCAGGGGAGCAGAGGGAGAGCAGAGGGGGAGGAGCGTAGGAGAGGAGAAGCGAGGACAAGGAGGGAGAAGGAGGAGGGAGTGGGGGGAGCTACTGGAGGAGAGTCTAGCGCACGTTGAAGGGACAGAGGCAGTGATTGATAACTGAATGGCCTGGGCAAGAAGAAGAAAGGCGTCATTGAAGACACGGTTTCAACAAGCTCGGAATGACGTCATGAAGGCATCAAATGTCATCAAAGTTACCATCATATTGATGAGCATAATTGTTTTCGGCCTCTTAAAGCAGATCAATGTTTTTCCTCGGGTATCTTGCACAGCAACAATTTTCCAGAGAAAGTCCGAGTACCCGAAGTGAGGTTGTGATTTGTAATAAATCTACACGCCTGTAACCTGTAACGCCGTCTCCTTTCACTTCCTTGCCTTGAGGCTTGATATCTAGCAGTAGTTGTTGTGCTTGATGCGTCAAACAGCAACATTCCCATGAGCTGATTAGTTGTCAGCTTGCTCCCTCTCTCCTAGACTAATTTCTTCTTCTTTCCACACATTTCCAGGGAGGTTTCCGGCTCGACCAAGGACAGTATACCTGCCAGCACTGCTGCGATTTCTCTTCCCTTCCGTGCTGCTGTTTCACTGCGTTGAAGAGCCTTGATCCTGATCATGACCGTCTTTCAAACATGCACACGGGACAAGAATATGATGTAGAAAAAAGTTGTCAGCTCACCTTGAAAGCACTGAAATCCCCAAAGTCTCCAAAGTCACTCCCATCCCCTGCCGCATCGCTCGCGCTGCCCCTGCTAGCACCTTGAACCTCCCTCTGCCTATTCTCCTCCTCCTTTGCAAAATTTCCCTCAAACTCGCTGAAGTCTGCCTCCCACTGGTCGCTGCAGGAGCTCGTCACAGCGAGGCAGATGATCATGTGCGGACCAGCGGACCTCGAACTCGCTTGTGCCGGGGGGACATCTCCTCCTGACTCTCCACGTCAGGAGATAACACTTCCTCTCTCTCTCTCTGTCTTTCTCCCTCCCTCCCTCCCTCCCTCCCTCCCTCCCTCCCTCCCTCCCTCCCTTTCTCCTTCCTCTCCCCATCCCTCGACTCCTCCCCTCTCTCTCTCTCCTCTCCCCATCCCTCGACTCCTCTCCTCACTCTCTCTTCCACCACCTTCCGATGCTTGACGCTCTGCAGGCCCTTGCGCTCCACTTGCCACCTGCATCTGCATCCTCCTCTTGGAAGTTCCTGGCCCCCGAGTCAGCCATCATGCCTGGTCACCAGCAAGACCTACCAGCCTGAGGGGGGTCAAGAGACAAGGCGGCCAAGGGCTCAGTCAGAGCTGATGACTTGGATATGCCTGCATGGGGCCTGAGGCTGCGGCAAAGGAAGGCGGGGGGGGTAGGAGCAGGTGGAGGAGGAAGAGGAGGAGGAAGTGGTGGTGGAGGAGGAGATGAACGAGGAGGCGGTGATGGTA